TTTAACGAGTTGCGTCTGTAAAACCATGGAACGAATAGTAAATAATAGATTAACATGGTATCTTGAAACCAATAATCTCATAACAAATATTCAATGTGGTTTCAGGAAAAATCGTAGTACCATTGATCATTTGGTACGTTTAGAATCCTTTGTTAAAAATGCTATAATAAATAAACAACATGCCGTATCGATATTCTTTGATCTCGAGAAAGCGTACGATACCACCTGGAAGCATGGCATTTTAAAGGATTTACATGATTTTGGTTTAAGGGGTCGTTTACCTCTTTTTATATCACAGTTCTTAACAGACAGGCAATTTCAAATCCGAGTGGGTTCAACCCTGTCTGACCATTATAATCAGGATCAGGGTGTCCCACAAGGCAGTATTTTGTCTGTAACATTGTTTAGTATTAAGATCAACAGTTTATCCAAGGTTTTAAATGATTCAATAGATGGATCACTTTTTGTGGATGATTTTAATATTTCTTGTCGTGGTAAGAATATGCATACTATTGAACGGCAACTGCAGGTGTGTTTAAATAAAATACATAAATGGTGTCTTGAAAACGGTTTTAAATTTTCCCAGTCCAAAACTAATTGTCTACACTTTTGTAGAAAATATAAGCCGCATAAAGACCCGGAACTATCTCTAAATGGCACTCCTATCAAAGTTGTGAAGGAGGCCAAGTTCTTGGGTATTATTTTTGACTCACACTTAACGTTTCTACCACATATTAAAGCACTTAAAACTAAATGCCTGAAGGCACTCGATTTGTTAAAGTTGTTTCCAACTCAAAGTGGGGAGGGGATCAAACTACGCTCCTTCACTTATACCGAGCATTGGTACGATCTAAACTTGATTATGGTTCGATCGTATATGGCGGAGCCTGCAAAAGCAACCTTAAATTACTTGATTCTGTTCACCACCAAGGTCTAAGACTTTGTCTTGGATCATTTAGAACCTCTCCAGTTGATAGTCTCTATGTTGAGGCAGATGAGCCTTCCCTTTCCCAACGCCGTATTAAATTATCCTTACAATATATTACTAAACTATATTCAAACAAATCTAATCCTGCATTTAATTGTGTTTTCAGTCCTCTTTATGAGGATTTGTATAACAAAAAGCCTTCTCTTGTTCCGCCTCTTGGGCACAGAATTAAACCATTCCTTTCTGCTGCCGGCATTGAGCTGGAGAATATATCTCCTTCTCGTCTTCTTTCTTCTCCTCCTTGGCAATTGGTGAGGCCAGACGTTGACTTAACATTAACCACATTTAAAAAATCTGAAACTAATGATTTACAGTATAAACAAGAATTTAGTCAATTAAGAAATAAATATAATACCTATAAATCCTTATATACAGGTGGATCCAAGGATGGTGGCGCGGTTGCTTGTGCCACTGTCATTGGGTTGAAAACAATATCTTCCAGACTACCCAATGACAGTTCAATTTTCACAGCAGAAGCAAACGCAATACTAACAGCTCTTAAATCTATTAATAACCACCGTAAATATAAACAATATATCATCTTTTCAGATTCTCTTTCGTGTCTTCAGGCTATTAAAAATCTTTCTAGCAAACATCCACTTTTATTAGAAATTATAGAATTATATACTGATCTTGCTACTGGCCAATGCGACATCGTCCTCTGTTGGTTACCCAGCCACGTTGGTATTTCTGGGAATACTTTGGCCGATCTTGCTGCCAAGGCAGCACTCAACAAATCTGTGACACCACTTCTTATTCCATATTCTGATTACAAAGCCAGCATTAGAACTTACATCCGTGATCTGATGCAGAAGAAGTGGGACACTCAGGTAGGTGTTAATAAATTACATGAAATTAAACCCTATATTGGCTATACTTACTTGGGTTGTCAGTCCAGATTTGAAGAGGTCATCATGCGACGATGTCGTATTGGTCATACCAGATATACTCATGAATACCTATTGAAAGGTGAGGATCCTCCGTTTTGTATCCCTTGTGATGAGAGAACCACGGTCAAGCATGTCCTGCTTGACTGTGTTGAATTCTCCATCATAAGGGATAGATATTTTAATGTCAAAACTGTAAAGGACCTTTTTAGCAATGTTAATTATCATTTAATCATTGATTTTTTAAAAGAGATAGATTTGTTAAATGAATTTTGATATATGTTTTGTAAATAGATGAGGTTTTATAATTGGTAGTTCAGATTTCAACTTAGATTGTTAGTGGCTGTACCCTCAAAGGGGGTTGAAGTATTGTAAAATTATTGTCCTCCTGAGAGGGTACGTAAGTCCCAACATATTTTGAGTAAATTTAGGCTTACCACGTTTTTAATCGTAGAATATGTGTGCTTTTAATTTATGGCTAGAATTATCTTCTGTCGCCAATGGCTGAAGGGATGGTGTAAATCCAACTAGGGTCCATGCAGGTAGCAAAAGTAATGTAAGTCCCAATGGTCCCCAGTATGGTGATCTACCTTCAGTTGTTGGCGATCTATAGCCCATTTTTACATTGTATTATCTTCCTTCATTGGAATATTTTAGCTTTGTATGCTAGTTTTATATTCATATGTGTGATTGTCTAGTATTTTTACTGTCCTTCGTCGGCAGGTTTTTATAGAATCTATATATATATTCTATTTCTTAATGTCAAATGTTCTCGTCACGATATGGCTGAAATATTGCCGATGTGACGTTAAATACTAACTCACTCACTCACTCACTCATATTGTCACAGTCTTGTGGGTGTGGTTTTGTCACTCTAAACCTTTATGCTTAGACCTATAGTCCGTTTGGCTCAAAAGCGGACCGATGAATTGCGATCTAACTCGAAAACTACTAAACATAAAATACTCAATGAAACGCTGATCATAATCAAAACATCATACCAACTCTGTGAGGTTTTTGCAGAATGTTTGTCCTAAAAATAAAAAAGTAAACAACACACACGCATGCACGTCGTCATATGAGCGAAATATTCTCAAGCACGACGTTAAACCCAATTTCACCTCACCTCACCTTTAGCGACACGTTTTACATTCTGATCGACGAACACTGTGGAAGACACTGTAACCAAGCAGGAACTCATCTGATTCCAAATGATTCCAGAAAACCAATCACATCAAACTTGTAGCCGAGAGCCGCTATGCGGTCCTATACAGTCAAGACATGACCCTGCATCACGTGATGCAGGGTCATGTCTTGACTGTATAGGACCGCATCGCGGCTCTCGGCTAATCAAACTTGGTGCCAATGAATTTAGAGGAGGAATATCATTGCTAAGTTTACGGAGACCCTTAATGTTCCGTGACAAAAAACTTGTCAGTTTGTTTGTAAACAAACGAGCCTTGGACTTCGTCTCAATCGCTGTTTGGAGTAACCTCCCTTGGTGTGTTGCTTCCGGGTTCGTCAGATGTAAACATTGAACCGCATGGTCTGTCTGTCACTGCACAGCTGTTACTAATGGGTGACGTTACTTGTGATCCAGACGATGGACTGGAGTTAATGGACACACCAACTATATACTTCTTCTCGGAGTCGTAAACAAACAGGCGCGGTGGGGTAGTCTAGTGGTTAAAGCGTTGGCTCGTCACGCCGAAGACCCGGGTTCGAATCCCCTCATGGGTACAATGAGTAAAGCCCATTTCTGGTGTCCCCCGCCGTGATATTGCTGGAATATTGCTAAAAGTGGCGTAAAAACCAAACTCAGTCAGTCAGTCAGTCGTAAACAAACACAGATCCGTCGATGATTAACTTGGTCTGCCACATCTTCACTCGTTTATTAGCGTTGCGAGCCTCAACAAACCAAGTTGACAGGGCTGGCTCGAAGTCGTCGTGAAAAGTCCTCCGTGACACGCTGATTGCTACAGTTTTGGGTAGGAGTTCCGCTCGTACACCCCGCTTGAAATGTATTCTATTTATTAGGATTATTTCGAGGGTTTAGGGCTAGGTTTGGGGTTAGATTTTAGGGTTAGGTATAGGCTGTATAATGATATCCTTCCGTTCCCCCAACCCTAAACCTAACCCTAAACCTAAACCTAACCCTAACTTACATTTTGGACTTTTAGTAATTTTGTGAGTTCTCTAGTAATTGTTGTGTTAAGTTTTGTTAATAATTTTAGTATATAATTATAAATAGTATTTGGGATGGGGGAACGGGAGGAACTGCTACCCTACTCTGACCGTGTTCAACTTGGAGGGAACCATCCTTGCTAGTATGTAGAGTAGACTGACGGGTGTGAGGTCCGGGGATCATCTCTCAGATTCACTTGTCACTAGTAGCGTGTGACCGCCTCCGTGGTGTACTGGTTAGAGCGTCCGCCCGGAGAGCGGAAGGTCGCTGGTTCGATCCCCGACCGCGTCATACCAAAATACGTTAAAATATGGTACTTGTTGGTCCCTGCCTGGCGCTCGGCATTAATGGGTACAACAAGGACTGGTCGACTCCGAGTCAGTATAATGTGTCTGAGTGGGGTACTCATGCTTCACTGCGGCATGGTGTCAGAATAACAAAGAATATATAGAGATAATATTATATGAGTGCCCATGTCATACCATGTTTTCGACACGAGTGTTTAAATGTTGGTATTTCTCGAGCGAGAGCGAGGGATATACCGATATTTCGGCACGAGTGTCGTAAACATAGTATGATACTCTGTTTATTACCGAAGTCGTCAAATTGAGGAAAATAAACCCAAAGTCTACTTTCAAACATAGGCTGACTACCCGCGGTCGCCGCATGTAGAACGCAACGTCACAGAAGAAACGTGATGTCATAGCATTGTTCATGACGTCACGTCCCCATGACAAAGTGATATTTTGCCCTAGGGCATCGTATGAAAAATATGAACCCCGATGATCGCACTCGTAGGTAATAAACCTAAACAAACTGAGAAATCAAACCAGCAGCTATCAACATTAAAATTAAAGATAAATTATTACACAAAACAGTGTCCCTCTACTGCTCTAGTTGTTCCATACTTTTTACTACTGTCTTCTACTCACAGTGGCAGATTAACTCTTTGTTTTGAAACTACAAAAATAAAATAACTCTGGAATACACCATGTCCTTGGTCCGGGCTGGATGTTAATTTCAAACCCCATCAACCTGTATTTGAAACGACTAGTTCAGGGCCCTACAAAATTATGAAGGGCCCTGTACCATGAATTGTAAATATCAGCTCACGATGTCCACGTGCAAAAATACAGAATACAAAGCGTTCTGGTTTCTTTATCAAATAATTTCACAGGAGGTTTTTTTGCGAAAGGTGGGACGTGTTTCAGTAAGGGAAAATCATCGGAACTCTCCGTTCCTTCAAAATAATGATCACCGTTTCAGTTTTGTCACGTATTGTCGGCTTATCTTAGAGGAAAGCTTCATAGAGGTAAGTGAGTTTTATCATGTTTTGTCCGACTGAACTGGGTGGGTTTTATCATGTTTTGTCCGACTGAACTGGGTGGGTTTTATCATGTTTTGTCCAACTGAACTGGGTGGGTTTTATCATGTTTTGTCCGACTGAACTGGGTGGGTTTTATCATGTTTTGTCCGACTGAACTGGGTGGGTTTTATCATGTTTTGTCAGACTGAACTGGGTGGGTTTTATCATGTTTTGTCAGACTGAACTGGGTGGGTTTTATCACAGTCTTGCGGGCGTTCTGAGGCTTGTTGGTTTGATGTTGTATTACGCGGTGTTTAATCGCTTCAAGAAGCCGACAATCGTGAGTTTTCGCTTCCGAAAAAGATTGGGATCGAGAGCGTGTGTATTGCGGTCATGTTTGATAGTCCGGGGTGGTGGGCGGAAGTAAGTTTGTTTATTTGTTTGTTTGGTTTTGTTTGTTGTTTAACACAGCACTCATCAATTTTCTAGCTATGTGGACGCGGTATGTAAATAATCGAATCAGACAATCCAGTGATCAACAGCATAATCAGTAATCTACGCAATTGTCATAAGAGGCGACGAACGGGATCGGGTGGTCAAACTTGATTGACACATGTCATCGTATTCCAGTTGCGTTGATTCATGATCATGCTGTTGATCACTGGATTGTCTGGTCCAGACTCGATTATTTACAGACCGCCACCATATAGCTGGGATATTGCGGAGTGCGGCGTAAAACTAAACTCACTCACTAAAACTAAACTCACTCACTCACTCCTATTTCATTAAGAGGTAACAGGCAGGGGATTAGATGTTTGGTAGTTTTAACCTGTATCACTATTGGGATGTCTGACAATGGGAGGATACCAGTGAGATATGACCGCAGATGATTATTTAGCTGCTTATCAAGTGTTCGCCTCTAGACTTGTGCGGACGTTTTGTGCGGACATATCGTCATCCATTTGTGTCAAGATCGTTTAGTTAAGAGTCAAAATCGGGTTTCAATCGACTTGCAGAAATAACAATAAAGATTCGGTAGGTGTCATGATTGGTGATCGATAGGCCAATCATCCATGATAATGTTCACATTAAGTTATAATCGATTACATGCGATGGTAGCATAGCGATCGGCAAAGCAACCGGGTGGGGGGTATACCGAAGTGTCCGGCCTTGTCATAATGTAATGTGTGCAGCATTTCGAGTCGGGGGTCATCTCAAAAATATGTTTTTTAAATCTTTAATCTTCGCAAAGACACGAGGGCCTGTTTGTGAGAGAGGATAACGTGTAGCCTGATTGTCATTAAGAGAAATAAGGTTGGTTTAGCAAGTGTGGGGAGAAGCTTTCCGTTAGAGTCTTGTGTCCCAAAGAGCGTGGTGAGCGTTAAGGCCTCCGGGGATAAAGGTATGGGGGGTTATGAATTTTGATATGTTATCCTGGGTCCCATTCCTCACAACGATCGTAGCGCTAAGATGATCGTAACTCCCATACTTTAACATAGACTTACGACTGTCGTAGCGCTACGATCGCTTTGAGGAACGGGGCCCAGGTCTTGATTGTTTAGTTTTATGGAAGGTCTTCTATATACATTTACGAAATGTACTATAACAGTTGCAAAATGTGTATATTTTACCTAAATTTATTCAGATATTTCTCAACAAAGTCGATAGTAAATCTCTCACATTTTGTTAAAGTATTCATGTTGTAACAGACTTGTTATCGGCAACTTGCATAACTGACAGCTGCCTATGTCGCCGTTATCGCCCCCTGCCGCTAAAAGCCTCCTTGGGTATACACTCCATTGTTTGTAGTGACCGCTCTGGCCACAACTCAATGGTCAAATAGTCACACCTGTACACGCTGTAGATGAAGATGTTTAACCACGTACATTACAGGTTATTACTCAACGTTTCCGATAACACACGGCCAAGGCAATTAAAATCTCTAAAGCTATCTTCCAAAATTGAGTAATATTTCGACGGCACAACTCTTCAAAAGATAGGCAAAGCGTCGGCTCCATATTAGGGAAATTGGTTACATCATACAAGCAGTGAGTGAGTTACTGGAGATAAATATTCTAACCCGGACCTTCACGGGTTGATTTGGCCAGACTTATACAGTACAATTTCTTGACACTGATTAAACGTTTAAGTAAACTTACTCACCTATCGGTGCATATTTATCGGAGTGAACATATTTCATGGAATTAATCAACACTGAAAACAAATTCTGAGTGAACTCATTCACCTATCATTATTTTACAGTGAGTGAGTGAGTTTAGTTTTACGCCGCTTTTAGCAATATTCAAGCAATATCACGGCGGGGGACACCAGAACTGGGCTTCACACATTGTATCCATGTGGGGAATCGAACCTGGGTCTTCAGCGTGACGAGCGAACGCTTTGACTACTAGGCTACCCCACCGCCCCTATTTTACAGAGTAAACAGAGTTCATGAAACCGTAACAATTCCGGATAACAGTTCCCATTTTCACTATCACTTCACTTTATTCTCAATAGACCACCAATAGTGGTATAAGAGTACATATCACACACATCAGTTATTACATACAGTCAAAATGGCGGCGGAGTATAACAAGATATTATAGAAAATCAGTTGTTGGTATAACATGTCTATTATCTAACGTTTGTTATAGTGGACCGCCTCCCTGGTGTAGTGGTTAGAGCGTCCGCCCGGAGATCCCCGACCGAGTCATACCAAAAGACGTTAAAATATGGTACTTGTTGGTCCCTGCCTGGCGCTCGGCATTAATGGGTACAACAAGGACTGGTCAGCTCGGAGTCAGTATAATGTGTCTGAGTGGGGTATTCATGCTTCACTGCGGCATGGTATCTCAGTGGGCTAGCACTATAAAACCAGCTTTAGTCTGAACTAGTACAAGCAGCCGCACATACACATACACACGCATGCACGTCGTCATATGAGCGAAATATTCTCAAGCACGACGTTAAACCCAATTTCACCTCACCTCACTTTTGTTATAGTAAAAATATAACATTTACGAACTTTGCTAGGTTTTTTAAAACAGTATAATCTAAAGTAGTAAACGGGATTCTATAAGATACAATGTTTGAGTGTTTGAGCTATTTGGTTGGAATAAGGTTTCTTCTAGAGTCATGAAAAGCAGCACAGCGAATTATATAATGGAACTCGTCTGCAATTGCTGGCGACTCACATAATTTACAAGTTTTATTTTCTCTTAGAATATTAATCCAACGCCCCGTCTCAATTGGTAACCAATGATTAGACATTCTGAATTTTAATAGTGGATAATAAATAATAATAATTCCTAAATTTATATAGCGCATCATTCACAGTCCTACGCATATGCTCAGTGCTAAATATATTTAGGCAATAAGAGAAAGGCATAAAGGCATCAAGTGATGGTAGGGTTTTAATGTATTTATAGTATTGTCCCTGGGAGCTTACTTCTATGGTATTCCTCCACTCTTGAAAACACTTCCCGACCAGTTGATCCCTTACAAAACAACTGACTACATCAAAGGTATACCGTCTGTCCACGTCCTGCGAATGCAAAATTTCAGGTTGTCCGCGTCATTAGAATGAACCCCTTTGGCGCCCTAAACTATAACGTACCCCCGCTCAGACGAAAACCCACCCAGTGTTATTTAGTTATAATTTCGGGCGCCAAAGAGGCTCATTCTCAGCGCAAACATTGCTTTTCTTACACCAACAATCAGGGCTCCTGCACATCACCACAACTTTGCCAAAAATGGGGGTCGGACACACATAAAATCAACTGGTAGCAGGACAATTCCCACCCGGACAATTCCCACCTAGGACAATTCCCACCCAGTTATTTTCATTATAATGATGACAATTCCCACCCAGGCTTTGAAATATTGACTTTGGTGTAATATTGAAAATTATAAAATATTGGAATTTTGACATTAAAGAAATTTGACATTGATGAATTTTTCACCTTGATGTAATATTGACTTTGGTGTAATATTGAAAATGATAAAGTATTGAAATTTTGACATTAAAAAAAATGACTTTGATGAATTTTTTACTTTGATGTAATATCCCGGGCTGTTTGAAAGGGATAACTGTGTCTTCAAATGCAGAAGTCCATCAGTGGGTCCACAACAGTTTATTCGTGATTCAATGGTGTATAATTACATGATGTTACAACAATGACTAGGCGGCATGTCGGAGGCGATGGTCAGCCAACCTGCCTGGTCGCTGTCTCAGGGTCAAGTTTCGGCTAACACAAAGCATTCTCAATTTATCCCTACGGGTCTGATCAGACTGTCACGTGTCACATTTACGATAATGTGTGGTCAGCCTGCAGTATCCCGCACCTCATCCACAATGTCATGCTTCAGTGGCCAACCGGCCTTTGTCTAACTTTGATTATATGTAGATAATGACTCTATGATGGTGGCCATGATGACAATGGTCAAGCTGTGTTGATTTCATTTCCATTGACAGCATGGCCATTAGTTATAGAGATATTCAATTTACATAACTCAAGGAATATCATAAATATCCCTGATAAACACTGTTCCAAAATGCCTACGATATACGCCTTTTCTGTAAAGAAGGACGTGACCCACGTCCTTATGCACATTGTGAATGAGGTAGCGATAAAATTTCAACATA